ATATTATGTTCACAGCTATTGTTAGAAGCTGGTGTACTATCATTTGTTAAACCTGCTAAAACTATACTTGTTATATGCTCCCAATTTCTTTCTTGGCTTTCTTCAGTTCATAAGTTATAGATTAATAGTTGCTAAACAATTACAATATTCCTAAATTTTTTTTAATCTACCATTCAAATCATACTTTGATATTTTTATCATTATACTTATTATGTCGAGTTAATTGTTAAACTAAGAGAACATTACATCGATAATAAAATTATTTGCATTAGTTAACCCAAATATCGAACAGATACTTTAACCGTAATCATATTTCGATAACAAGATATCTCACACTTTATTAAAACAAATTATAGTAATCGACATCTAAATGGCTAATAATGCGGAAAATTCGTCCTGGAAATGTGCTCACAATATAACCGAAATTATCTCGATTATAATCATTTATTATGTTCTTCGTAACCTTCATTAATGAGATAAGTTATTGGACTTGGACCCTATGATAGCGTTACAAAGATACGCTCTTATTACAGACTTAAATACATTACATTTTCTTTGGTTTAAACTAAAGAAATCGTGTAAAAATTAATAATCTTAATTAAAAATATTTTTGAATACAGGATAAAATAATGTGCATAATATTTGAAAAAACTATAAGTATTGTAATTAATATTTCCACTAAAATAATACAAAATTCTTACTCTCTTCTCTTAAATTGTACCAAACCGAGGATATTTCACAAAGTCTCATCCCTTTAAAGGATATAAAAGATTAAAGAGTCCAAGAAAGATCTTTCAACTCAAATTTTGCTAAATGCTCTTGTTAAAACTGTGAAAGTAGCTTCTGTGTAATTTAATTGTGCCGTTTATTTTAAACTGCTCTTTTGGATATGCAAACTTCTTATGTAATCTCGAATTCAATTGTTTTAATTGCTGCAAGCTTCATGTTAAATTTGTTTTATTAATTATAACCAGAAATAAAATCAAACATCAAAGTTTAAACGACAAATTTATTGCTATTGCCAATCTATGGTACATTTTATTTTAAACAACTAAAAATAATTTAAACCTTTTCCTTTTTATTTTTATCCTCAGTTTAAAAGGAAAGATGTGTGAATGCTTTTTTATAATCTACGATTATACAGGGTGACGGGTGAATTACTATCGATACTTGAGGACGTGATATTTGACGATCATATATGACAACATAAAAATTAATATAACATAAATATTAATAAACTTCTAAGTAAAGTTAACCAAAAGTTATGTAATTAATTACGCATCGTGTGCACACCCTACAGATTAGGTATACACACACACTCACACATACGCGTGCGGCGGCATAGTATTGTATCAGCCCGCCGCCGCACGCGTCCACACTTGGAACACTTGGAACGTGTCAACACTTTATTTATTTATACGGAAATTTTGTCAAAAATTAAGTACCTATTTTTTTTACATAATTCGAATGAGAATCATGTACCGAGTATGCTCCTTAAATATTGATAGTAATTCACCAGTCACCCTGTATATGTATATAAAACAAATCCCTTTTTCACTTGGTCACGGCATTACGCGTGAAATAAATACAATAAAAAAGAATAATGGTACAACTAAAAAAGAAAAAAATAAGTGAAATATTCTACAATTTTCGTATTTTTATGCTACATAAGAACCTTCTTCTAATAATAACAAATACAATTAAAAAATAATAAGTGAAATCGGGCTTGACCGATATTTCACTTTTTTATTAAAATAATGTGTCACTCGCAGCATACAATAATAAACACTTTGTTTTTGCAATAATTTTGATTTATTAATATACCAATTAGAATTCAATAATCACGATTAAGAAGAACATTGTCAGTCAAGTCAGTTATACTTAATAAAGAAATTAACTTCATTCAGATAAAAAGGTTACAGAATTTCTTGATTATAGGGCGGTACGAAGTTCGCCGAGTCAGCTAGTACCCTATAGAAATTATTTATTTATATTAATTTTTGAATATTTTTTTATTATATACTACAATGATATTAAAAGTTTTATTATATATTGCAATGATAGAAGATTAATAATTAGTTGAATATTCAAGTAAACACGGTTTGATTTACACAAATCTTAATTTTCGTAAAAATGCTTGATATAACAATAAGTTAATAACCGAGTGGTCATTAACTTAAAACATATTTTATTCACCTAATCCAAATAATACTGGAATTCTAATGTACAATTCTTTGTTTTGAAAGAATTTATGCATATGTCTAATAATGGTCTTAACAAGTCTATATGAAAATTTTACATAGTCTTATAAGAATTAAAAAGTAGTACAATTAAATCATTGAGATCGTTTGGTTAGTAAAGAAGATATAAAAATAGAACATTATACAGTCCATATATTAATTAATTTCGATTTTATTCATTGTTCCTGTACTAGTTTCTGTATCATTCGATGAATCTGAATGTTCTTGTATGTGTATTCTGTGAATGATTTGATGTTTGGTGACGCAGCTAAAGGACGTATAACGTTTATCTTAATTTTATTAGAAAGTGTTTCTATCTAAAAATTTGTATAATCTGATCTATACAGACTATTATTGATGGTACAGAATCTGAAACAAACAAAGATATGTTACATACAGTTGAAATACATTAAGATTTTGAAATACATACAGTTGAAATATATTAAGATTTATTAAACTCATTTTAACAATAAACTGATTAATTTTCTGACTGCTGTTGGTAATGAAGATATTATTCAATATAGCCGCAAAGCTAAGACATCACAAAGATAACTTAATTGCATCAAGTCATTCCATATCTGACACTATCATAGTTAAAGAGGAAGCGAAAATTCTTTTAGTACTTATTTTAATAACTTCAAATGCAATATAATACAGCACTGGATCAACTAAATTATTCCAAAGATCCATATAACATCTTAATAGTTACAAATCAAATCAATAAAACTTCAAACCTATATATATTGTTTAACCAAAAGATTTTAATATGTTAACTCCTGTGCTCCTGTGAAATCCCGGCGTCGTCAGTCCGGTCCTAATTGTCAGGATCGCCCCCATTCTCCGAGGGAGTAAGTCCGGTCATTGCCAGGACCGGCCAGTCACTGGTGTGCCCTGTCGCTGACAGATTCGGGATACACCGACATAGAGGCCGATGGCTTTCGCAGTGGTTTTAGTGAGTAGGGGCCTGCCCAGGCCGAGCCTCACACATCCCTTGCGGCCCCATCAAGGCCGGTTGAACGGCTCGTAAAATGAGTTTCCCTGCGACAGCAAAAAAAAAGTAACTATCCAACCAAAAACTTTAAATGATAACACAGAAATTATTTTAACGCAAGCGATTTTAAGTGAAATCACGTTTTATATAATGCCAATATTAGATTATTTTTAAGCTGATCAGTTCTACTCGTATATGAAATAAGGGGTAATATGCTTTTTTTTGGTTCGAATTGACTAAAGCTGTTATCCCTAATGGCTTTCACAGAGTCACCGAGAGGGGTGGGTGGCCCTGATGGGACTGACCTCATTTAATTCGGGTCCGAAGGGCCCGACTTGGGCTACGCCCGTCCCAAGAAGGGCCTCTAAGAGGCCGGACCTCGGCTTAGGACGTCGTTGTAGTGGAGGGATTGGTCGGATGATGGATAACATGACGCCCCCCGACGGCGGAACGCCGGAGTGACGTTTATGAAACGGGACGTCGCCTTCGCCGGCGAAGGCGGTGTGTGTTTGTGGTGTCTGGTGTGTTGTTGGGGTTGTTGTCTGTATTGTCTGTCGTGATCTTATCGTCAGGGTCTAAGAGGACGTCTTTGGGACGCCTCTTACCTATCTTAGGGGTAACATGCTATAACGGAGCCATTATATTGGAATGATTTTGGAACTTACCTATTCGTAAGTATGGTTGGTGAGCGACGTTATACTCGGGATACTCTACGTTATATTTGAGCCACTGCTTCCTATCCATTGTATAATACTCATTCACACTTTGAGTGGTCGGTGATCTGTGTAAGAGAAACAGATAAACTAATAACAAAAGTATAAGGTCAATTTTAAGCTTAATTTATAAAAAGGGATTCAGTGTCTTAATTTCTGACAAAAGATAAAACTTCTTAGCATTCAATGGGTCGCCGTGCGGTGTCAAGTTTTTTGCATTGCAGGGAAAGGATCTTCAATAGTGGCTGGGACCTACGACCCAGATGTAGGTTTAAGGGGCCCCTATCTAAAGCGCATTAAACGCTCACCTCCACCGTCCAAGTTCCTCTTTCTATCTAACCACATCTAATATACCTAATATTATGAATCTAAGAGAGTTATTCTTTTCCAGATTGTTTAATATTAAATTATATATCCGTATACCTTCTTACTTTTGCATACTGAAGACATCTTTACACAGTTTATATATTACTTATTGTAATTTTGCATGCAAATAAACCTGAGAACTATACTTATGGCTTTATAAACCAAAATTATTTTTAATAAAAATATATATACCCATTTCTTACAAAGTTTGTCTACAATGTCATGACCATTTCACTGAGCACTTTTTCTTGTTGCGTATGTTCAGAATGAAAGTGAGTATTGTCTCCACCCAAAGGAATAACCAAAACATGGCATTTCTTCTCCGTGGATATTACTTAACTGGAATTTTAGTAAAATATGTGCTTAAAGAATAAATAATACAATTAGTTCAGACATCGCATTGATAATATTATTCTAGCTGTTTAAATAAGATATTATAATTCAAAATAATATTAATTATAATGTATTTTTCTCGGTCGTAAGATTGATAATATAGGTCGTACTCCATCTTTAGAAGGAATAGTAGATAGCTTTTTAAATGATCTCAACAAGGTAGATAGCCAGCAGATCAGTAACGTAAAAAAAGCATGGATCTACGATAATTACTTAACTTCACGTTTGAATTGGCCTTTCCTCGTCTATGATTTTAGTAAAACCCTTTTATCTAAATTAGATGCAGGCGTCATAAAGATGTTGAAGTTGTGGCTCGGGCTCGCGCTAACGGCTGACTCATCGGCTTTATTCAGGGATCGTAATAGTTTTGGGATGAATCTAAAAAGACCATCGGAGCTCTACAAACACCTAAGAGTTTCCAAGAGACATATCCTGGGAAAATCCCATGATGACGTCGTTACATCACTCCCAAAAGACAATGATGCCCCAGAGCTAGAGTCACGACTTCAATTCCATAAACAATTTATGATCGGAGCGCAAAATAACAGAGTAGGGTTAGGATCAAGTAGGAAAGTCCAAGATACGGATATATTGAAGTCTTTTATTCGGCAAGACGAGAACGATAAATACAAGATCCATGCAATGAGTTTAGAAATGCAGAACGATTGGTTAGACATGGGAGATTTTTGCATTCCACTAGCACTAAAATGGCGCACCCTAATTCATGACTGGTCGCCAGCCTTGCTAAAATTTTATCTCAATGCGTTCCAGATGACTCTCCCAGATCAGAGTAATTTAGTAAGATGGGGTAAAGGTACCGAAAAAACTTGCTATATCTGCGGAAAGGCAGTTGGAACTGCCAAGCATTTGCTGGTGGGATGTAGGGTTCTCCTGGACAGCGGTCAATACTCGCGTCGTCACGATAGGGTTTTAGAGATCATACGTGAAGCGGTTAGTCTTTCGGTAGCCAGAGCGCAAAGGGAAATAACCACAAACGAGCGATCAATAGGTTTTGTGAGAGAGGGCACCAGGGCTATAAAATCAAACGTCAAGCCTTACTCTATCCTTAAAGCGGCTTCGGATTGGACTATCATGATGGATACGTATGAGAAACAATACAAAATCCCCGAGGATATTTGTGCGTCGGCCTCCAGACCAGACATATTTCTATATTCGCGTATTTTAAAGCGCGTTGTGATGATAGAGCTTACGGTGCCTTGGGAAACCAACATCCCCAAAGACCATGCCATCAAGGTCAATAAGTATTACGAGCTCACTAACGAACTAACTCGAAATAGGTTCGTCGTTGATTTGTACGCGGTAGAGGTGGGAGCGAGAGGTATAACAGCTAAATCTCTCTATAACCTACTAAAAGACTTGGGCCTGTCCAGAACTAACATTAATTCATTCTTAGAACGTACGTCGAAGGCAGCCCTAGTAGGTTCTTTTCAAATTTGGTTAGGTAGGGAGAGGAACTTGGACAGTGGAGGTGAGCGTATAACGCGCGTTAGTTAAGGGGCCCCTTAAACCTACACCTGGGTCGCAAGTCCCAGGCACTGTTGAAGCTCCTCTCCCTGCAACGCGATGGACCCGGCACCCGCACGGTGAATCCATCGAATGCTAAGAGGTTTCGTCTCTGTGTCTTTTCATATATTTCTACTGTTTAAAGCGTTTTAAATTCACTTTAAAACTGTATGATTTCATCGTTAAACGGATCCTTTATAGTTTTTTAAATAAAATATAAAATATGGGTTGTCGAGAACAGAGTTCAGAGTACTTTCTAACAAGATGATAATAATAAATTATAAATAGATAGAACTTATAAATTGTTAATTAAATACTGAACAAAAGCTTAAAAATCGAATCATTCGAATTTACTTTTAATGATTTTAATTTCAATCGAATTTACATGGCCTTAAGATTGAAGATTAATGATAACTTTGTGTCAAACAAAATGTTTATACTTACCGGTGCATAATCAGTGCTGCCCGAATTATGTGTGAAAACTTAAAAGTAAGGCTGTTTATTAGACTTGGATTGGCTGTTAGCAAAACTGACCATAGGCGCTAAAGGCGTTCCAGCGCTGTGGGTCAAGCTTAGATGGCGAGTATCTGAAAATTTTATTTCAATTTATTAAAATAAAAAACAATAAAAGATTTCATAATAAACCTGAATTTACTCTTCAAATTTAATCAGTGCTTTCAGCTTAAATACGTTGCATTTTCATTTTGTAAGCAAAAGCATCACTAGTCATGAATTATTCTATCCTTAAAATTGTGAATATTCGTCTTTGGAGCGTTTCCGATTTAGTAACGTCTTATCTCCAGCAGTGGACCTCACATATGTAGCTGACATAATGAAGTTTAGTTTTCTTATACCATCAATAATAATGATGATAATGGGAATAACGTAATTTTTTTTAAAGTACTATTTTAATTAAAAAATATTAAGATTAAAAATATACATAGATCGAAAAAAATTAATTACTGAGCAATTTATGCTTGAAAGTAATCAACAATAGAGGGAAAATTGCTTTAAAAGAATTATCCTGCAATTAGCGTTCTTTCATTGTATAAGAAATATGAAAAAGCAATACTAATATGAATAATAAACTATGCAAAGGATTATAGGAGTGCATTATGATGATATTGATTATGCAAAGGATTAAATCCGTATTATTTAAGCAAACATCGAACCACGGTAGAAAAAAATACGACTTAAATTCGATCAAACAACTTCACATAGATTTCTTTTAATGGATCATAGAATGGTTTCACTCTTACTTTATATGTGAGATATTTTTATACTTTGTATAACGACGCGACGTATTGCATCTAAATAACTTTTTATATTTATCCAGTAACGTAATATCTTAATTTTTTACCAGAGCTCATAATTATGTTAATTTATTAAAGTGATAATTTAAATTATAAATAAATTTTATTATAACGTTTCATAAAATTTAAGATTTTCAAAACAAGACGTTACTGTTTGTAATGCAATAAGGTTACTATGAAAAAGATGTATTCAAGGTCAACTAAAATTTTGATTGGAAAACTGGTATTTATTACAAATAATTTTCAAGAATTTTTTTGTTCACATTTCCCCTTCTCCCAACTAATATAATTAATGTAGTATTAGGGCTAGTGGCGGCTGTACCTTAAGTGCACTCGTGCGCTGAACCTCCAATTCAAAAGATTTAAAAGTTACAAAATATAACTTCAACTTTATTTTTAAATTACCATTTTTATATTTATTTTTTAAACATATAATAAATTAAATTTCCTAATTATGGTCAAAAACTTTGAGCGCTTTACTGAACTAATATCGTGCGCTTCGGCGAGTGCACGAGGACTGCTAATACAATATGTTGTATGAGATACGAAATAATACGCCTGACGCGTGAAACAAAAGATAATTCATAGAAATGTACCGAGTAATGAGTCGGTTCTCGAGCGCCGCACGAGCGACCGAAGATTAGCGAGAGCACCCGATGTATGACGAATTGGGCCATGATTGACATCTCGTTATATTGTTTTGTTGCATTTTCTAATTTTAATATTTTCGTTAAGTGCACCACCAGTTCGATTACTCACCAGCCGCCACTGATTGGGACAATGAGTACTATTCAAAATACTGTTCATAATATGGGAATAACTTGCACCCGGCATACAATAATTTGATACTGATTGTTCGTTACACATGTCATTGAGCAAAACACCCAAGTTTCTTCCCAATTCATCACTATACATTTTAGTAAATTTTTTGGTGGGAACATGATGTGTTATGTTGGGTATGGCGCTGTCATGAGCTGTTGACTGAGATAAGGACACTACACCATTGAGCAGCCCCCAACCATCCCCAGAGACTAAACGGCCCTGACAATCACAAGTATAGTTTTTTATATATATTGCATAACAGCAATATGCCTAGATAGTTCTTTTTGAGACATTTCATATTTTTTGACATTATATCTAAAGAGTTATGTAAATATGTTATCTCAGCCTGAAGAGCATTCACAACAGCCTCATTACCTTGTCTCATTACTTTAACATTCTTAGAATATTCAATAATTTTTAGTCTGAGTGTATTTCTTTCTTTATAAATTTTTTCATAATTTAAGCAATAATTTCTTGATCTTATTAATTTTTGAGTTTTCTTAATATATTTATTAATTTTAACATATTTCTTTAATTTATTTTTACCTAATACTAAACTAGAAGAGCCCGAGTCATCACCAGTCAAATCAATTGTTGTGATGTCATTGGTATTGGTGATTGGGGACACTAAAGAGGCCGCATTTCCCACCAGTTCATCAAATAGATACTGGGCTTGAGAGCCCTTTAGGTTGAAGCTATTATTTTCCAATTCAGAAATATATAGTTGGGCCTTAAGTAATTTAATTTTTAACTAATTGGTGAGCATGAGGGCTTGCTCATACTCATCTCTGCAATTATCAAACCCACTGACTATTTGTTGCAGATTATTTCTTTGTTCTTCCATATCTAAGCATTTCAAATGTAACTAAGAAAGCTCAGTTTTTAGATTATTGTTTCTATAAAGAATTTGCAAGAATGCTTGTTCTTTATCATCCCTTTCTTTTAATAGTAAATCACACTGTGTCCTGGATGCCTTTAGTTCCTGGAGCGTCAGCTGGAGTTGTTCCTCCGCCTGACGTGCCTTGATGCTACGAGTCATCATATTTGATTAAAAAAAATAGAAGTTGTATGAGCAAATAATATAAAAGTAAGCAGTGTGATCAATCAGTTAATAATATTTAGTATGTAATGATCTTAAAAATCTTCCGGTTGCCCTTTCCCTTTTCCCACCCTTTCCTTTCCCTCCCTTCCCCGCCTTTTACTCCCCCTTTTCCCCAATCAAGGGCGGCAACACATCTGTAAATCTACATTGCAGATATCAATGGGCGACGGTAACTACCTGCCATCCAGTAGGCCGTCCGCTCGGTTACCCCCTTTTCCCATAAAAAAAGGGTTTCTAAAGTGGGTTAAAGGGATAATAAGAAGTCGAACAAGAAAACTTTTCAAAATTGAGTTCGTTACCTGCGTAATGTCAGCTGACGAACACAACACAAAAGAAACACTATTCACAGTAACGCACGACACTCAGTTTATTGTTATATTTTATATATAACTGATTAATACATTGATAAGAATGTAAGGTCAGAACTAATTACAATTAATTTAAAATATAAAATAATTTAAATTTATTTTTTCATGACATATTATAAGTGTTGCCACAGGAAAAAAAGTACTAAGTAAGACTTTTTTTGTAATCCGTAAAACTACTATTTACTACATTTCTTAATACTTCTTTTGGGAATTAAATATTCACAATGAACTGAATTTAAATGTCCGTATTACTGATTCAACTCAGTCTTTAAGTTTGATGTCTTCATCCCTCTGTTACAACAGAACATTACTATAACCTTTATACCTAAAAACACAAAACACCTTGAAAATAACATCAACAGCTGTCAGTTTTGATCTAAATGACATTTTACTTTATGTCATATATGTATAATATGTTTTATAGCATTCCTAATAAAAATACACTGTTCCCGCTTTCAACATTTAGGCTCAGATAAATCGATTAACATTAATTAAAATCCAATAACTAGTAGTCTCGTTGACGATAATAAGTCTATAAATATATTATGTAATATGTTTATATATGTATGCCATCCAAATACTCATTTACCGTCTCTTCAACGAATAAAACTATTTCCAATATTTGCAGCTATTAACATAATGAATTCATTTCAAATAATGAGATCTAAGATTTTCGCGAGTACACATTTAAATGAAACTAATATTTTCGGATTTTACTTCGCGTTTTATTTTAGAAACTACATACTCCCGACGTTTCGGCTACTTTTCAGCAACCGTGATCACGGGCAGACGAGATGTGAGTGTCTGTCAGTTGGTCTGGTCATTTTATCTCCTACCGCCATCGATTTCTTAATTGTCTTGCGTACCGCTCTGGATGCCGGCAAAATGCGCTCACGGTGTCTTGAGGTCCTGCGGTGTGGTCACGGACATGGGATTTCATATTTTTAAGAAGAGGATCCCAGGTGTTTGATAGGTTCCAGCCATCTTCTCTATTGAAATTTGGGTGTTTTTTAATTTCAATAGCCTCGCGGATTAACCTTGGTATATATCTGTCTTCACGAGCGAGGATCTGTGGTTTATCAAATCTAATGTAATGGCCTGGTTTGTCCAATGCATGTTCGCACACTGCTGACTTCGACGCGCGCCTATTCCTGACGTCTGAAACGTGTTCCTTAACCCTTGTACCGATGCTTCTCTTTGTCTGTCCGATGTATGACAAGCCACAGTCACAATTAAGTTTATATACACCCGCTTGTTGTAAAGGAATGTTACTCTTGATTGGTCTCAAGAATTGGCTCACTTTCTTATGTGGTTTATAAATAGTCTTGATTGAAACCTTCTTCAAGATGTTGCCTATTCTGTCAGTAACTCCCTTTACATATGGTAGAATTGCAGGTTGTCGCTCAACTGTAGGTGGCTTCATCTGGTTCTTGCGATGCTGGCGAGGCACGGGCAGGCTGTTGATGGTCAGAGCACGTCTTACATGCTGCAGCTCGGCCTCTAGGTGGTCAGCATCACAAAGGTGTTGTGCTCTCTGTAACAAAGATTTACCAACGGTAGCTAACTGTACAGGGTGGTGGTGTGATTTACCATTGAGGTACCTATCCGTATGTGTGGGTTTTCTATAAACAGTATGTCCCAAAGTATTGTCAGGATTCCTGATGACTAGTATATCAAGG